CAATTATTTTATTTTACACTTGCAATTGGGGACAACATAACTTGGTCATAAACTTCGCTAAGGTGTGTTCCCCAATCTGTACAAAAAGAAGAAGAAGCAGAAGACGAAAAAACCACAACAAGCCTTAAACTGCCCACGAGTATCTCAGCCCAAAGATCTTAAAGCACATCAAGTATTATTGGATGTATATATGTATATATAAACGTGTATCTGAGACGGAACAGGCATGATCTAATAGTTAGACATATTATTTCTCGACTTATTGGAGTACAAAAATATCAATGCCCAAAATAAACCTAAATATATTCAGAGTTCTCTTTTAAGACATTGCTTGAGCTTCCTATTTGGTCAGTTTCAAATCTGTGAAAGTTTAGTGTAGTATAATATGTGATTGTATATAGTATTGTATAGGATAGTATTATATAGTATAGTATAGTAGCTAAGCCTAGTATAAAGTATAATATAACATAGTATAAATTGAGTATAGTATAGTATGGCTGAGCATATAGCATAGTACAGTATAGTATGACATATTACAGTAAAGTATACAGTTTACTAAACAGAACGATTATCTGCTATACTATAAAATACTATACTGTACCATAAGAAAGCCGCTATACAACACTAGTCGATGCTATATTATATACTGTACTATACAACAACATTAACACCCATTTACAGGTCCGATCTTCACAATCATCTGCTATACTATAATAGGTACAACATAAAATATGTCGCTATACAACACTAGACCATACTATATTATTCACTGTACTTTACAATACTCTTTAGTAACAACCATTTGCTGGTTTCTATTTTCCACACTCTCTATCTAATCCTAACAATACTTTACTATACTATAGTATATAATAATATACGGCGCTATACAACACTAGATTATATTATATTATACAATACTTCACAGTTCAAGCATTTTACTGGTTTTAATTTCCCACACTCTCTGTCTAGTCCTCACAATCCTCAGTATTCTAGAATACACATAAAATACGACACTGTACAACACTAGAAAGTACTGTATCACATACTGTACTGTAGACCACCCAAAAGTAACAGCCATTTGCTGGTTTCTATTTTCCCAATCTTTTTCCTAATTCATACAATCCTTGTCTACTATAATTAGTATACCATTATATGCGACACTTTACAACACTAGAATGTAACTAACAGACATTTGCCGGCTACCCCTCAAAATGTGGCTTCTGTTAGTGTATTTGAAGCTTCGATCTGGCACAGCTGCCAACTTTTGCTTCTCCACATCATCTCTGAGTGTTGAGTTATGGCAAAAGACCTTGGACTTAGGCAGCAGCGCGCACTGACTGTACCGATCTGCACCCGCACCCGGATCTACGCCAGCGGCTCGGCTCTTCCTCTCGCTTTGGCTGTCTTTTGGGCAATTTGTCACTGTGCCGTCGTCGGCTGAGACGACGAGAGGCGTGCGCCAAAAGACCCTGGGCTACCGGGCAGCATCGAGCTGTTCTCCTTGCCATGTCCCCCTACCCTGCTCCATCGCGCAGATGTGGCAGACTGGCGACTGTTCTCGTCATCTATCGCTGGCTGCCATCTGCGTACAGTTAAAAATACAAAAAAAAAGGCAACCGACGGCGTCTCCCTGCTCCTGCTGTGCGATGGCCATGCCGATGGGCGATTGTGAATTGAGGATTGTGAACTGGTGACTGGTGACTCGAGAGTCGCGAGTCGCGAGTCGAGTCTGGATACTGGCGCTCCTTCGACGACTTCTTTATGGCTCTTGATTTTTATGATTTTTCTGTTTAATGGTTCATTTGTGTGTTGCACTCGTAACCCCTCACCTCCCCCCCCCCCACCCCCTTCTCCTCACACACACACACACCCTGCTCCTCTTGTTTGTGTCTGGCTTCCAGTTTTGTTATCGCCGCGTCTATATCTTCAGCTTTTGTCTTCTCCAGCCCCTGCTCCGGCACCCAGCCTCGTCGCCAGCTTGGTTTAAGTGGCGGCAGCTCCCCCTGCAACTCTTCCACTCCGCGCGGCTCCTCATCTCGGTCTCGGGCTTAATCTGTGTACAACATTTTTGAGCATAACGCAGTCGCCGCTGCGTCGCCAGGCAACGTTTTGGCCAACTTGTATTTACCCATCGTTTTGGCCAAGTTACGGCCAAGCGTTTCAGTTAACTGCATTGTTTGTTTGCTTGTTGTTTGCATTGTTAGTGCGCGCTTTTCATTGCCCCTGCCCGAACGACACCCCTCTCCCCCTTTGCCTTAACTGATCTGCAATTTATGTTGCATACTTTGTGGCTGCGCAACTTGCGGGGGTCTTTTTTCAAGAGGATTTGCGAGTATTCCTGTCCAGAACTAAACCGTTAGCTTTTACAAAAGTTATTTTTGATAATGGTTCTCTAGATTCATGCCTCAATATGTGTTATCGGTTTGACTATCGATCAAGGTCCTGCCTTATTTGCAGCTCTAGCCTTTATTTCTAGCCGATAAGTATAATTTGTTATGTCATTCACCTAGTTGCAATCAACAATCGAAGTGCCATCTCCAACACTTATCTGATATCGATAAATTTGATCGATTTGCCATGTCCAACACTTAAATGATATCGATAAATTTAATCGATATTTTAAATCATAATAAATAATAAACCAGTTCGGATTAGGAAACGACACAGATGTCATATAAAAACATTCTTTCTGACAGATAAGTGTGGCTGGCAATCGATAAAGTGAATTCTCTATCGATTTTCACAAGCCACGGATTGTCATGCCATCACTAACTCTCCATTTGTCTTATCGTTTATGTAATCGGGCAAAGCCAATATCAGAAACGGACTCTAATAAACAGCATGTATTTATACAGATAAAGCTTAGCCATTAGTTTTGTAATGGATCAAGTTCTAATCAGCAATCGATCTGAGTGCCATCTCTAGCGTAGCCTATAATCGATAGACGTCTTTATCACCATCTCTATGCTATATCAAAACGATAACAGCTATCGATAATGTAATCAGAGACTTTTAACAAATTTTCATCAATATTCTCTTTATATTTAGCTTCTTTATAAAGCAGATAATCGAATATGTGATAGGTTTGGCTTAATTTGTAGTCGCCCTTTTTTATAAAATATTATAAACTTATTATTCGCATTGAAAAGAACTTTCGATGGAAGTAACTTCACGGAGTTAACATTTATCTAGTTCGATTATAGCTAAGACAAAGATATCGAACATGTTATCGATAGTACTATCGCTGCTAAGAGTACAATCAATAACAAATTCGATGACTTTTTAAGCAATAATCGATCTATGTTAATTTAAACTTTGGTTTTTCTTTAAATTTATGTAGTCGATAGGTTTCTAGCCACCTTTCATTAGCCGTAATCGCCTCATTCACACACCTTGGTCATGTCAAACAAGTTCTTTGGGCTTCCACGCCTGTCCTCCATGGTCACATTGATTATCAACGCTTGTAATTAGCTGCATTGATTTGACATTTGCATAGCTGGCGAATAAATGTAATCGTTTTCTTTGGCATTGTCAATAACTTTGCCTTTCGGCTGTTCTAATGAGCTGCGACTAAGTCGCTGTGGCTAATGACACCTCATCAGCTTAGCCGGCGATTAGTTGGCTTGTAAACTTTTAACGGCCTTTCGGAACTTTGCTGCCAAATGGCCGCCAACAACTTTGGTATCTTTTAGCTGGCCATTTGCAGTGACACCTTCGCAGACATGGAGCTGGCGGGGATGCGGATGCGGATGCGAATGCGACTGAGCATGAACGTTGGCAGCTGGCGCCGCCTCCATTCAGAATCACTTTATGGCTCAGCCGTCGTTGGGGCCATAATTGGACGCGGTGCCAATCATTTTAACAGCTAGGCAAACACGCAACCAACCCAAAGCAATGCAAAGCAAACCCAAAGCGAACCGAAACCAAAGACACAACCAAAGCCAAAGCCAAAACCAAGACCAAAACCAGAACCAGTCGCCGCTGTCAGTTCATGTTCCATGTCTTCGGCAATGTCGCTGAATGATAATGCAAAATATGCAGTCAAAGAAGCTACCAGTTCCTTTGACACACATACACTGAGCAAAGTTTTCTAGAAGATGTGCTGAGCGCAAGCAGAAAAAACACGTTAGAAACTGACAAAAAGAGCTTTTCATATTTAAATAAAAATAAATATTAAATATATTAAATTGTATAATAATTTTCAATGAAAGTTATGTCATATGAAATTAATAAACAAATTAAGTCTTTTAGATTCAAGATAAATTTCGGGTTCGAGTCCCTTACTAAAAATTAAGTTTTAAATATTAATTTGTTATAGTAATATTAAATGAATAAAGTTTAATATTGTTATATAAAATAATTAAATAAAATAAATTTCGAGCGACTTAATTCCCTTTGAGCCTCAATAGAGTATAGATTGCACACTAATTGATAAAAAAAAAAAATTAATTATTAGTATATTAAAAACCGGCCTCAAATACCCTAACAAAAGGTTATCCATATTAGATTTGTTTTATTAACTACATTAAATTGTATATTTTAAGCCCATTTATCAACAACTTTTGATCGTATCATAATTGTGCTCCAGGAAAAATCTTCCACTGAGTTACACAAAATTTTTTGCAGTGTAGCTTTGAAGCTCGGCGCTTTGGCAGCCTGTCTGAATGACAATTGGCGCCATGGCCGCGGGGCGTTTCGAGCGAGGCTGGTGGCTCGGCAATTGGTTGGGTGGATCGTGGATCGCGGATCGCGGACCGCGGATCGTGGACTGTGATCCTGCCGGGCCACTTGTTTGTTTATAATTAGCCGCGACGAAAACGATGCTGGCGACGACGACGACGGCGACGGCAATTCAAATTAATGGCCAGCTACTGGTTTCGCCGGCATCTATTTTTATGGCCGATCAATTTTCTAATAACTGCTCTCCCTCTCCCTCTCTCGCTCTCACACACACGTATATACTCTAACATTGTCTCTCTCTGTCTCTGTTTCGCTTTCAGGCGGAAATGCTGATGGAGGATTCGCGGCTGTTGCCGCTGGGCTCGGTGGCGCCGCCGCAACCGGCGCTGCCGCCGTCAACGCACCAGACGCTGCCCGCCAGCCTGAAGCATCATCATCATCATCAGCATCAACGCGGTGGCGCCTCCGCTTCGCCCGTCGTTGCCGTTGCCGCCGCCGCCGCCGCCGACATTCCGAGCAAGAAGCTAAAGGCGCCCCCATTGGACAGCTATCATCCGGCCATGGACTTGCAGCACTATCACATCATGTACGCCCACTGCATGCAGCAGCAGCAGCAGCAGAGGGAGCAGCAAAGGGAGCGGGAACGAGAACGGGAACGGGAGCGCGTGGAGCGCGTGGTGGTGGGCACGCATCCGCTGGCAAGCAGCGCCTTTCAGCCGTGGCGTGCGGCGAAGCCAACGCCCGCTGCCTATTTGCAGGCATTCAATGCATTGTCCTCGCTGCCGTATGCCTGCCAGGAGCCGCCGGAGCTTCAGAATCCGGAGCGTGTCGTGCGCAGCACAGATCGCGAGCGCTTCGAGCAGCACTATCAGCCGAATGTGGCGCTGGCGCCGCGCAAGAGCATACTGTGCAAGGAGCGCGAGCTGGAGCGCCAGCGTCTACGGCAGGAGCAGGAGCTGCAGCTGGCGCACATCAAACTGGAGCGCGCCGCAACGCCGCCGCTGGAGCCGCTGAATGGCAGCAATCACAGCAGCAACAGCAACCACAGCAACCACAGCAACAGCTCGAACAGCAGCTCGCCGATGCCCAAGCCCGCGCTTGCCCATTTGGTGGTGTCGCCGCCGGCGCCGCCGCCGCCACCGCCCCCGCCCAGCCAGACAGCGTTGCCGCTAGCGGCGCGCCATGTGCCACGCAGTCCCGCCGAGGAGTTCTCGGCGGGCAGCAATGAGATTACCTCCTCCACATCGCCGGTGCCAACAGCAGCAGCAGCAGTTGCAACAACAACTGGAGCAGCAGCTGGAGCAGCAGCTGGAGCGGTAGCTGGAACTGCAGCTGGAGCTGCGACGCCGAGCAGCCACATTATAGCCACCGTTAATCAGCATGCCAAGCTGCTGCCGACGAGCAGCAATCATCACCATCACCACAATAGCCACCACCACCACCACAACGAACCAAGTCGGATTAGGATCAACAAGAATCTGATGAGCCAGCAGCCGCCGGTGGCAGCGTCAATTGCTGCACTGCAGCAGCCGATCTACTATAAGACGCCGCATCCGGCAGCCGGCTATTCGCCCACGCAGTCTTCCAGCGCCGGCGGCCTCAATCTCAGCACGCACTCCTCCAATGTGGTCAGCTCGCCGCATGCCAAGCAGCAGCAACTGTTGCAGCTGCAACAGCAGCAACAGTTGCCAGCGGCGTCGGTGGCGGCGGCGGCGGCGCAGAATGGCAATGGCCATTTGAAGCCGCATTTGGGCAGCGAATTCGAGCTGTCCACGGACACGGACGACGACAGTCTCAATGGCGAGCCGGACAGCAGCGCCGCGATGCTGCCGCCCTGGGAGCTGGCCGTGGATGCGCTGCGCGATACTCGCGCCAAGGATCGGGAGCGTGTGCTGCACCTGCTACAGCGGCTGCTGCACGAGAATCAAAAGTATCGCGATACAAATGGGCAGCTGGGCGAGCTGCTGCACAAGCGGGACGCGGAGATTGCGGAGCTGCGCGAGCAGCTGCAGCATTGTCGACGCCAGTTGGAGGCGTTGGACAAGCTGCGTGTGGTGCCATTGAAGCAAACGTTGCTCGAGCAGCGGCTAGATGAGGAGATGGACGAGGAGGATCAGGACCACGAGGAGGAGGAGGAGGAGGAGGAGCTGCTGCTGGGCGGCGAGGAGGCGGATAGCAATGAGACGCTCACCCAGGATCAGGCCAACAACAACAGCAGCAACAACAACAACAAGGAGCAGTCAAATGGCCTGCGTCGCAGCCCAACGCCGCTCAACTGTTGCGCAACTGTTGCACAGCAGGAGGAGGAGGCGCCGGCGTGCAAGCGCCTCAAGCTGCAGGAGCAGCAACAGGTCAAGCCGGCAAATGGACATGCCAAGAGTCCAAGTCCAAGTCCAAGCGGCGCCAGCGCCAGCGACGACGACGACGACGAGGAGGAGGAGGAGCCGGAGGCGGAGGAGGGGGCAGAAGCGGAACTGGACGAGGCAAGGCAGCGGCGCACGGCGCAGGCGCAGGCGCCGCACAGCAGCGCGTTGACAACGCCGCCCACAGCGACCACGCCCCAATCGCCAGACTCGGCCGCAACCGCCGGACAGCTGTTCGACAGCAGCAACAGCAGCGATGAGTCAGCCATGAAGAAGGCGCAAATGTGCGCCAAAGAGGCGCTGGCCAAGATTAGCAGCAACAGCAACAACAACAGCGAGGAGACAGAGGCAGAGGAGGAGGAGGAGGAGGAGGAAGAGGAGGAGGAGGAGGAGAAGGCAGCGACGCAGCAGGAAGACTCGGATGATGATGAGATGCCGCTGCAGCAGCGCCAACAACAACAGCAACAACAGCAGCAGCAACAGCAGCAGCAACAGCAGCAGCGACGCCAGCGTCGTGAAGTGACTGCGCTGCCGACGCCAGCGCCGACAGCGACGCCCATTTTAATGGCCACCAAAGCGAGCAAAAAGCAAACGCCGCCAATTACAACAACAACAACAACAGCAACAATAGCAACAATAGCAACAATAGCAACAACAATAACAACGAACTGCGAATTACAAATCAAAAAGGAAATTGTCTAAGCAGCATCCCCTGCCCCCCCCCCCTCTCCCCTCACCCCTGCCCTACACCCACGCCTCGACCACCAAGCAGCTGCCGCAAACGCATTGCAAATTAACAGTTAGAACTTAGCTCATATAGTCGTCTCTTTCACACACACACACACACAGCAAGCTTTGCTTTGCTTAGTTTAAAACTTTAAGAAAGCAAAAACAACAAAAAATGAATACAAATTGTGCTCAACGCTTAACGCACATGAAATATCCTGTTGCGGGGGTATGCTGTATAAAATACAAAACGAAATGAAAAAAAAAACACACGACATTTTTCAACACTTTCTCTGAACATTTTTGTAGCTTGTTTTGATCTCACGTATAACACAAAATTTGTTAGGCTTCCAAATTCGCTGTTCTATATAAACTAATTCTAAATATGTTATTCTATTATTTTCATAATGAAATTTCTTTAACTTTGCTGCCGAAGTTATCAACATTGAAACCAAAGCTTTAAATGAATAAACAAAACAAAACAAAAACAAAAACAAAAAAAAAACCAACAAAAAACAAAAGTTAAAATTTAAAAGTAAAAATAACAAAATAGAAAACTTAATTTTGTATATTGCGAGACCACAATTAATGCGTGTGTGTGTTTTTTTTTAATTATTATAAATAATTTTTATAATTTAAACTAATGTTAGAGTTTATTTGATAAGTTTAAGGCTTAAAGGAAAACTTCGAAGACATTTAAAGAGAACATGAAATGAGAAAAAGATAAGAAATGAACTCAAAGCGAGGCTTGCAAAATTTAGCAAATTAATCAACACTGACAAGTGTTTTTTTTTTCTTTCTTTCTTGCTTGGCACAGATTTCCGCATAGCGGCAGTTTTACAGGCCCCAAACAAACAAAAAAAAAATCCTCAATTTTTTTATTTAATTTTATTTAAACACCAATTCTAACTGTAATTTTTTTAATTTTAGTTCTAACTTTAAGTTGGAAGCAAAATAAACAGTTAAAGCAAGAGCGTTGCGAGAGCGAGAGAAAAATACACACACACAAAATGAACCCACCACTTAAAGAATTAAATTAAATAAAATAATACAGATAAAAACAAAAAGTAAACGAATAGCTAAACAAATCTTAACGAAACGTAACGTAACGTAACGTAACGTAACACAAAAGAATGTTTTACAACACTGAACAAGTTGCCGCGTTAAATTGAGCAAGTTTATACAACTACAAATCTATGCTATACATATATGAATATATATATATATACACACAATCTAAACATAAATACATATAAACATTAATATTTATTATAGCGTCTAATTCAACAAATTAATTAATTGTAGTCTTCTGTTTCACTCTGTAAGCTTTGCTTTCTAGGCATTTAGTTAAATAGTTTATAAACAAGAAACAAACACATTAATTAACAAAAAGTGAAAAAACAACAACAACAACAACAAGAAATGCTAAACGTAGTTTTTAAGCAACTTCTTCTTTGTCTTTGTACCATGTGAATGGCAAATACTCGTAACTGTTATTGTAAATATCATTTCTATCGATAAGGCGATCTATCGATATGCCAATCTATCGATATGCAACGCACTTTCGATTTCGTTGCCAACACTCTTTGTGAATGTTTGCTTTGGGGAAGAAGAAGCAGAAGAAGCAGAAGAAGAAGAAGCAGCAGCTGATTAATTGTAGCCAAGCCAAGAGCCAAGCGAAAGCGCGCGCACAGATTTCAAAAATCTATAAACTTTTGTTAAACATATTAAACATATTATTCAATTATATGACACACATGTATTTCGTAAACTAAATTTTAAATTTTCATTATGCCTGTGTGTGTTTTGTACTTTCTAAAAGAAAAGCAAAAGAAATAAATTAACATTTTGTTTACCTTGTGTTAAACGAATTTCGAAGCAACAAGCAAAAAGAAGAAGAAGAAAACAAAATAGAAATTTAAACCAAAATTCAAATTTAGCATTAAGCGTCGCCAGCGGTAAACGTGTAAAATTGTATAAACAAACATTTATTAATAAAAGAAAATAAAAATTAAAATATATATATATATATATACATTTACAGTTAAACAATTTAAATTGTGAGAAATTAAGCAACAACAAAACATAAACAATTGTTATGCAAATTTAAAAAGTTATTTAAATTAAACGCAAAAAAAAGAAAAGAGAAATGAAAAAAAATAAAAACAAAGAAAAAGAAACGAATTACAAATTGCTATGCAAGAAAGGTAAATAATAATAAAAAAAAAATGAATAAAAGAAAAACCAACAAATTATTGTACATTAATTATTTATGTTCATTTTGTGTTTCATTTACAAATAATTCGAACAGAAAACAAACTCCCCTCCCCCCCCCCCCCCCCCCTCAGAAACAGAACCAGAAACTGAAGTGGAAAATTAGAAAACTATCGAAAAAAAAAGAAAACAGAAACAAAAGGAAAAACAAACAAGACGGTTAATCAAAACGGTTTTCAGAACATTTTTTATATTAAAGGCCAAATTTTACAAATTACAAATTACAAATTAATAAAAGAGGAAGAAGAAGAGAAATAAATAAATTACAACAATTTTTGCAGTTTTTTGTATAATTATTTCTTTTGCTAATAACCCAAAGAAAGAGTTATATATGAACGAAATAATAATTATTAAAAACAAACAAAAAAAACAATCATTTTATTAAAACAAATATATAAAACAAATTTTACAAAAAAGCTGCTTAAAAACAAATGAAAATATTGTTAAAAAATGGAGGCAAAGCGCAAAGAACAACAACAACAACAACAATTGATAAATGGCATTAGTTATTAACAAATACGCATGCATATACAGAAATCCGCGTCTTGTCAATATTATGATTATTGCATAATAATTACAATAATTATTATTAACTATTATTTATTTATGTGACATTCAGAATGCAAATAAAATGTACAAATTGTGGAGACAACGGTCAACGGATGCGATTAAAAAACAAAAACACAAAAAAGTTTAATTAAATTAAACAGTTAGAGGACAAACAACAACAACAAGAACAATTTGACTTCAACGTTTCATATTTAAGTAGTGCAGCAACAAATAAAACAATACAAAAAACAAAATAAATAACAACAAAAATATAAAAAAAAAAAAAAAAACGAAACAAAAAAGCGAAAAATTATTACATATGTAAAGTCAAGACAAAATACACAAACAACAACAACAAAACGGTAAATATTATGCATAATAAATATTTGAAAAACATAAAAAGAAATTTACTTTTTATTCCACTATTTTTAATTTGTTTGTCTTTTGTAATTATTTGCTGCGTGCTTTTGGGCGGCGCGTTTACGGTTTGCCAACTAGTTTATGTTGCATACTTTTAAGCGGAAACCAAGAAGTACCTTAGCGAATACACCAACCCTATCTACTCAACCAGTTTACGTTAAGCTACCTGCCAATAGATGGAACGCGCAAGTATGGGGCAATTCTGCCTAGGTGCTTGTCTGGGCAAATGTACCCGACTGGGTTGCAGTTGCACGGTTAGCTGCCAGATGGCGCCTTTAGAATTTCCTGCTTGCCAACGTATTGTCGAAATTCGAATCTTTTTTAGTGTGAAAAGCAAAATTGACTTCTAAATTATATAAAATTTGATTTTAAGCAATAAACTTTTTCGCTAATAAAATAAAAAATGATAAACATTTTTAGAGGTCAAACCATGATTAAAGTGTCATCAATAATGATAATTGATTATAATTTTGCAAGAGCTTAATAGAACAACTTTTTTTTAATGCAAGTAGATAAAATGCAGATGGCCAATTAATGTAAAAAAGAAAAACCAGCAAAAAACGAATCAGCTTTGGCAGTTATGAAGCTGTAAGATTTCAGTAGGAGCATTGGATATTCTTATATATGTATGTTTGTATATTGAAAATATGTTATTTAATAAAGAAAATCAAAAATTCACTTACCCCTGGCCGAAAAACTCTCTTGCAAAAGCCAAAGAGAAAGCGCAAGCACAACAAAACTCCAGAATCCGGTAAAAAACAAAAAAAAAGAGGGCAAGGGCCTGGTTAACTGTGAGGCATGGAGTCGCTGGGTCTCAGTCGCAGCCTCTTCTTCAGTCTCAACGAGCGAGCCACACGGAACGCGGCGCGTGCGCATGACAGCAAGTTTTTTTTGGGGGGCAGCTGCAAACAAGTGAAAAGAACTTTAATTAAACTGTGTTGATTTTAGCTAGTTTCTATTTGGTATTACTTAAAAGATTATATTTAATAAGCAGAGCTCACAAGCTGCGCAAAGTGCAGGCTAATTGTTTTTCCAGACTCAGTTTTAGTTCGTGGCGTGGGTTTTGTTTTTTTTTTTTTGTTTTTTGTTTCGTTTTGTCTTTTAGCATTTTCAGGCGAAACCGGTTTTCGCTCTCTTTGAGCACGCTCCCAAAACGCAGGCGAACGCAAACGGAACGTGGAAGTGAAAACATAAACAAAACAGAGCGAATTATTTGCACAGAACAAAAACAAAATCCGAATCAAGGAAAAGGGAAAACGGAAAAAGAAAGAACGGAAATACCATCACATTCTTCACAATGAGCGCACGTTCGCCGCACAGCGATCCCGCCTTGGCCGGATTGCCGCAGCTAATTGAAGATTTGCAGCGCCTGTGCGAGGATCAGGACAGCGCCGATGTGGTCTTTATATGTGGTCGGGACGATGAGAAGATCTACGCACACAGAAGCATTCTCATGGCGCGGTTAGTTATTAGAGATACGCACGGAATGAAGTTTTCTTAGTCCAATAAGAAACACTTTTCTCACAATTTCTCTTGTTATTCTTATTAGATTTTATAATGTTGCTTACAATTGTAACCAATTTCGTTTTTTTTCACAATTGTAATCCGTTAACACGCACTATATTTAACCGTTTGTTACTTTTTCGTGCTCACTCGTGTCACGCGCACGCAGTTGTAGTCTCGACGCAGTCTGATTGGACTGGTTCTCCTTTTATGGCACTGCACTGCGACTGCGTGCAGTCATTTGTGGCTTTAGCACGTGCCACACTCATTGATTTGATTAGTTAATTAACGTTTTCTTTAATACTAGATGCAAGAGCTTTAAGACTGCGAAGCGCGGAGAGGTCTGCCGGATCCCCATTCCGGGCTGCACAGTCTCGCCAGCGGCACCGGGCACTGGCACGCCGACTGCAATACGATTGCCGCATATTAATGCCGAATTGTTTCGACAGTTTATATTGTATGTGTACACTGCAAAGGTTGGTTAAAAACCCAATTCGCCTAATCTAACATACTCACCATTATTTATCTTCTTTTATAGCTTATGCTGCAGGATTATCGCGTCTTCGAAATGTTGACCCTGGCTCAAGACATGGGCGTCTTTGAGCTGCGTGCCGCTTGCGAAGATCATGTTATTTCCACACTGTCTGTCGATAACGCATGCACTTTTTTGACCGCAGTTATGGATATTCACGAGAAAGCAGGTGCGTAACTTTAAAATTGTATATTTTCGGTTTATAAATTTATTTTGGCCGCGGCTATTCGATATTAAAAAAGCACTTTTGCCATTCAACGCGCGCGAGTTTTCAGAGTCGCACACATATCGATAAGAAAAACAGCTGTTTATTATTGGCGATGGTAAAACTATCGCTGCTTTGAACAAACAAACTATTGAATGTAGCATGTTGCTGCTTTCGATACTATTGTTATGGCACGTTTTTATTTACCCACCAAAACGCAAAACATGTATTAAAAATTTAGTTTTTATGGTTTTCTTTTTATACAACAAGTAAAACTAAGTTGAACAAACTAATAACAACGATTAGTTTAATGCGCAGTCGTAGGCCCCATTAACTTTACATGCTGCTCACATTTTTGATTGTTCACGTTGTAACCTCTGCCCGTACGTTCGCGAAATAAGGTGCCACGAGTCCATGAAACGGTCCATACACAAGGACACGCATTTCTAGAAGTAATTAGAATGGTTCATTCCACTGCACCCTTTTTATAGACAGTAATTTGGCATAGGCTCATGTACTAACCTGCTCTGATGCGTCAAGCGATGTTCCTGGCTTGTTAATGCATTTTTTGAAGCATTTTGTGGTCATTTGTGTGAGCAACTCTTGCGCATTTGCAACCGCAATTTGTTGCTTCACCTGGTCCATTATTTCACCCTTATCAACTGTTCCGTGAGCCATGTTTTTGTTTATTTTGAGGCAAATACTTCTCAAATTTCTAAAACTGAGACCTTCTGACGCAACCGGCCTGTATCCAACTATCGATATTAGCCTACTATGTTATCGTGTTTTCTTGTGACTAAGATTTCATGTACGATAGTATCGATAACAATACTTTTGCTCACCGAAAAAGACGCCGGCAGCAGCAGGAAAAAAAAACAGAAAACGTTTTTGCGAAAATATATTAAACGAAGACAAAAGTCAACAACAAATCACCAAAATGTCCTTTAAAGGCAACCCGAAGGTGCAAAAGGTGATGGTGCAGCCCATCAACCTGATCTTTCGTTACCTGCAAAGCCGTTCGCGCGTCCAAGTTTGGCTCTACGAGAACATTTCGCTGCGCATCGAAGGCCACATTGTGGGCTTTGACGAGTACATGAATCTGGTGCTGGATGATGCCGAGGAGGTGTATGTTAAAACGCGCCAACGCAAGAATCTTGGCCGCATCATGCTCAAGGGGGACAACATAACGCTTATACAGAATGTCAGCCCGTCCAAGGATTAGGCTAGATTCTCGTAAAACTAATTTCTCCACAAAAAAACCATACATCATAAGTGAATTAATTGTAAGCCGAAAGGTTATCCACAATAAAATGAAACAAATTTTATATGAAACTGGCGACTTTTATTGGGAAATTGTACACAGTGCACAGCTCAGGTGAATTTAATGCTTAAATGCCCAAATTATTCACGTCTATATCCACTTTGCAGGTGCCAAGTGCGCGGCTTCGTTTATGGAGCGCTGCATCATTTATATCGGAGAGAATGCCGGCGAGTGTGTTAAAACAAATTCGTTTCTTACACTTACCAAGGAGGCGCTCATCAAAATCATATCATCAGATTATGTAGGTGTTTCGCCTGAAATCTTCTTCATTATTTAAATTAACTTTGTTTTCCACTTTCAGTTCTGTTTGGAGGAGGAAGAGGTGTGGCGCTGTGTTTTAGCCTGGGCCAAATACCAGGCGGGCGTCACCCAACCCACAGCCCACTGGACCGAGGAAGAGCGTGCTCGCGTCTGTCAGCATTTGAGCGGCGTAATGGGCCATGTGCGCCTGCTGTTGATCGATAGCCAGGTGTTTGCCGAAGAAGTGGAGCCCACTGGCGCTGTGCCCATGGAGCTCTCGCTGGAACGCTATCGCTACGCCGCCCTGCATCCCAATAAGTTGGTGGACAATGATAAGCGCCTGCAGCCACGCCTTGCAGTAAACATGTTTCCCGGCTCGCAAATCTTGCGCAACGATAAGCTGCCATTGCAGGGCATACTCAACAGCTGGTTTGGTGTGCCCAAGCAGAGCTGGCGCTTGGTTTTCCGAGCCTCGACGCACGGCTTTGGCTCGAGCTCGTTTCATCGTTATTGCGATGGCGTCGCTCCCTGCATGGTTATTGGAATCGGCGCTCATGGCGAGATTAGCGGTGGCTATACGGATGTCGCCTGGGCCAAGACCAGTCGCAAGGGCGGCTATTTGCATTCGGAGCGCGCATTTCTGTTCATGTTGAATCCACCAAATGGCGAACAGCCCGCCAAATTTGATATCGTTAAGAAACCATATGCCATCTGCTATCATCCAGAGTAAGTCAGTGTGCAAAGCTGATCTATAAAAAAGCTGCTATTAATCCATCCCATAACCGAACAGCTGCGGTCCCATATTTGGAGCTGGTGCCGATCTGCTCATATCCAGCAACTGTAACGTGAACACGGACTCGTACTCCAATTTGCCGCACTCCTACGACGGACCCAGCGCCGCACATGTGACGCTCTTTGGCGATTACAATTTCGCGATCAGCGATTATGAAGTTTACACTCTGGCAGCCACCCACGCCCACGGGCATGGGCACGGGCACAGTCATAGCCAAAGCCTGGCGAGCAATGGCCAAGCGCCGGGCGTGCCCAGCAAAACAAAATATGATAGATACTAAGTTACCAATTAGACACAAACATTTTTGTAGTTGTAGTTGCCCAGCAGCTCTCAGCTGGCAATAAAATTCAGATCGTAATCCCAGCTGGCCATTTGCAAATGGTTCTCGAAGTCAAGTTTATGACATCGCACAAGGTAACGAACAGAAATGGAAAGGTAATTAATGATTGGAAAACTATTGTCGGATTTTTGTTAGCCAACTTCTTGGTTGCCAAGAACCAAAATAATTAACTCGTTTCCCTGTGTCTTTCTGTGTAAAGCTGAAAGTGTTGGGCGGCGGCTTCAGTTGAAACATGCGAGGGTCGCTCCAGGAGTTTTGAATAAATTTCAAATTTTCATTCATCTATAAACTTTAACTTAGATCTTGGCTCTTCATATTCTTATTGCAATTTTAAATTTAATCATTCTTTTTATTTTAAATATACTTTGTCTGGCAACTAATTCTTAATCCCTTGAAGGTTCGATTCGTGGCAATACGAATTGGAATTCCGAATTTGAATCGCCGCTTTTCGAAATCCCTTGAATTTCTAGTTATTTCACAAACAATTCTCGCAAACAATTGATACGTTTAGTTACAAATAAATAACTTGACTATATATATATAACAAACAATGAATGTGCTGTGCACTTGAACCTGGTGCTGGGGTCCACACCTCTCGCATAATTGACAAAGAAAAACAAATGCGTAAAAGGTAAATTTCAGATCAGTTGAGTTCAGTTCAGGCTAGAATAATAAGTCACTTATAATGGGCAATGGTTGAGTTATAGTAAAATGTATAAAGTCCGGACGGCCAGCTGGACAGCCGCTTGCCCCGCCCGTCCCCCCCCTCTCAGCGTTCGCCAGTGCAGAGAGAGGGAGGTGTGCACATGGCGCTGAAGTTGATCTCAACTGGTTTTCAACTACTTTTCAAAATGCTTCTGATAAATTGGTCCACGCTTTAAATTGGTTCTAATTAAAGCGATTTTTTTTTCCTCTTTTTTATTTTTTATGCTGATCGAATCGATCAACGACTATGGCATCTAAGGCGCCTCTCACCGCCCGCCCGCCCCTTCGACATATTTTGTGTCATTCGTCGCGGAGCTCGGGAATCGGTATAGGAATTGAAATTCAAACAACAAACACTTGATGTTTGGCGTTTTATTTTATTGTGACTGCACAAAAGATTGGCAGTTAAAATTTTTTGTTAACGACTTAAGGCCAAAGCTCGAGAGCACATTTCGATAAGGCAGCCAGCTTTATACAGTATCTCATGTTGTATTTGTATTTAGTTTTGACAGGCGACGTTTTTTTCCCCAATTTTTATTTTTTTTTTTCTGGTTAACAAAAGCCTGAGGGCGCCCAGGCCGCGACAGGCGCTAGCAGAATGTCATTTAGAGATTTTTTTTAATTTAATTTTTATTTTCGTTGATCTCGCTGATTGTCAAGTGGATAAGATAAGTTCAGACAATTAACAAGAAGTGTTTCATTGCCTGCCGCATAAAAAAACAAAAAGGGAAAGGCAAGGCACATAAACTGGCGCTTGCCTTTGTCACTCTGTGCTGGGGCCAACAATGTGCGAGTACTCGGAGGAAACTAGTTCTAGCTTTGGCTCTATTCAAGCAATCCATAATGCATAAGTATGTGGGTATATGTTCATACAGATCGATTTTAGGGCTGGCAAATGCGGGCCATCTGTGAAATTTGCATACATAATACCTTGGTCTTAAAGTAATTTCCCATCATGCAGAATAAGATTAGCTCACAAATCATTTTTTTTATATTAATGCTGCAAAAATGGTTTTGAAATCTGAAATTTCAGTTGACGAACCAAAAACCTAGAACAGAGGGTTCCAACTTTCAATTGAACCAGTAATTTTAAAAAAAGTTTAACTCATTTTTGTTTTTTATTAAAGCTTAAAAAGTAGTTTTGAATATAATCAGTTTGAACGTGAAAATCATGATACAAGCAAAAATTCTAACCAAAACCCGGAAACTAGAACTTTGAATCGAACCAGCACTAACAAAAGAAAGTTCAACTCCTAGTTTTTTGTTAAAATCTTTGAATCTTATCGGCTTAAGCCGGAATATTCTTTACTTTGGGTTTCTTCGAAATTGTATACAATATGACAATCGAACAGGTTCACGAGCCAGGCAAGATTTAAGCTTTGCATTGAACCAGCACAAAGTTCGACCACATTTTTTAAAAAGAGCTTTTAAACTGGGTTTGAGTCAACTCGATTTGAAAGTGAATTTTCTTTATTTTGTTTTTATTCAAACAAATGAAAATTTTAACCAAAAGTTGAGGCATTCTACGAGCCGAACCTTCATGCATTAAGGAAGTTCACGCTGCGAACCGAACCCGTAAAGTTAGCTCAAGAAAGTGGCCTCATTTATCATACTTTATGCAAAATACAATTGTTTAATTCGAGCGTTATTTGAACCAACCCTGGTCGCAACGAATGTGCGATATTTGTTGGGCTTGGTCAGCGTTGTCCGTCATAAAACAAAATGCCTGCTATTAGCCATGTACCCATGGCCATGGCGTGGTCAGCTCTCGGTCAACAGCTGGACAGCCGGACAACCGGACAGCCGGACAGGCGGACAGGCGGACCAGCCCATGTGCTACAGTTAACTTGAACCCATTTACATATGTACACATGTACATATATCCATGTGCAGCGGGCTACAAAGGCGAACCGCAGCAAAAGATTGGTTTGAACCTTTCGAATAGCAATGTTCTGACATTCCATTGGGCCACAGCCCAAGCAAACTCATGTGCCATTTATAGGTTTTCCGACTGGCATAAATGAATATTACTTATCAATAGTTTGTGTCTAATTGTGAATCATTACAGAGATTCGTGCCCAACAGGAGCTGGGTGCGCATTAGGGCGGATTTCCCTGACACATTCATGTGAAAGATAAGATCATCTGGCAGCTGGTCAGCTGTTGCATCCGTTTCCGTAAACGGACACTGACTGAGAGAGAGAGAGATATATATATATAGAGAGAGAGAGGGGCTGCTCCAATTAAGAGGTGTTAATATGCAAAGTGGAAGCTGTCTCAGCTGGCGTGACGTAGACGTGTCTACGCCCTCGTGCAGCTGTCTAAGCACCCACCTTGGCGGCTAGAGTCATCATCTTTATTATCATCATCGTCATCATCATCATCATCATCATCGTAATCATGATGAGCACTAGCTCATCGCCAAATGCACTCGGCATTACGGCGACATAGCTGAAAGATGCCCCGCCACACGCTGCAGAACCCAACGTTGTAATCTCCAGACTCTAGTTCTGGCCAAAGTCTCTCAAGAGAGAGAGAGAGACGTCTCTTGCGAGAGAGAGAGAGAGAGGGAGTGGGAGAGTGGGAGAGCGTGTATTTGCTCTCTTAAGCAAACGTTACTCTTTGCTGCTCTTCACAACCTGTTTTTTTAAAGCCCACTTTAAAAATACTTTTGCTTTTCATTGCCTTCAAGACGACAACGACGATTTTGTTTGGTGATTAATATGCGCTTTTCGAAAATGAAACAAACGAGTCGCCAAATGGAACAAAAACAAAAAAAAAAACTGCTGCAACGAGTCGTCCCAAACATTGGCCCAGGTCACAAATTATCTGACAAATTGTCTGCTAAGCCCCCAAAATAAGCCCCAAGCCTACGCACTAAGCCTAAACCTAATTCTTTCAAAGTTTTGGGTAATGCAACTAAATCTTGACATGACATATTTTAAAAAAAAATATTTTTTTATAATATTTCTAATTTTATGTTTGAAATATTTTCTAATCTTTATATATTAAATATTAAAAATATTGTTTATGATTTTTTTAAATTAAATATTCAAAATATTTTTTCAATATGTAAAGTTTAATATTTCTAAATTTTGTTTATAAAATATTAAAAAAAAAAACTAAATATTTTTCAATAAAAATTATTCTAATTTTCAAACGATTTATTTTATTATTTATGTTTAATTACAAGTTAATTATTTCTGAATAAACAATTTTAATATTTTACTACTTGAAGCACAATCAAAAGAATCAGACAAATAAAGCTTGATGTTACAATAAAAAATAGATACGAAATACCAAAAAAAACATTGACAGGAAACACTTTATGGAACTTGCCCAAAGAGTTTTCTTGAAAACCTTTTAAATTAATAATAATAATTTTGTATATTCGTTAAATATTCTTAAAGATATTTATTAAAGTTTTTTTGCAATGAAATGTTTTCTATTCGGAAGAGCATGCATTTTTCTTATAGAAAATAAATAAATTAGTCTGACAAGTTTTACATTGTAAGAATATTTCTAAATATATTTTCAAATCAGGTTTTCCAAAAGAGGCTTGATATATATCTATATTTACAACTTTTGGAAAGAATGCGTTGAAAAAATATTTAAAAATATTCAATGTAAGAAAATATATATTTATATACATATATAGGTTCACATAAATCATAATCATAAAAAAATCATAACTCGGAATAAGAAGAAGTATTTCTTTGAAAATCGCCAAATCCAACTCTTTTGCTCAGTGCAGCACTTAGTTTTAAGCACAAGCGCCTAAAGTTTCGAACTTTAACAGTGTTGAAGAGCATACAGTTATCGGATTGATTGATTCGCATACTTTTCCGGTTTTGTTTTATTTTTCGTTTTGCCATTCAAAAAAACGTACGTCGCTGAGTGGAGCGGAGTACGGCGGCCGCTCACTCATTTTTTGAGCAACTGTTTTTAAAAGTCAGTCGGTCTTTTTGTTTTTGTTTTCATTTTGAGTATTGAGGCTGGTTGGAAATATATATTTTTCCCATTAAGGTTTTTTAAAGGCGCACGCCGAGAACGGCTCAGTCTCGATTGTCAGCTTGTCGTGAATGGTTTTTTAGCACAAGAGTCGCGGCTACCCGAGTTCCACCAAACCGCGCAACTTATATTAACACACCGAGCACTAGCACCTTAATAGCAACAACAACATTTGCACATATTTATATACTACATAACTCGCAAGAGACGCTACGCGCGTGTGTGTGTGTGTGTGTGCTGTGCTATTGTCACTGGGGGAGGGGAGGCCACGGATTTGCCTTTTGCATAAATCATTTAAAGCGCGCGCGCGCTCCACAAAACGCTTTTCAGCTGTCGCTCGATTTGGTTCTGGTTCGACATATTCATTGTTTTTGTTGTTGCCTTCATTCTGATATGTAGGTTAGCCAGCAAGTTCGTTGCCTAAGTCTTTCGTATCATGCAGTGACGGGAGCTTCAATTAAATTTACGTAACTTGGAACGCGCTACGATTTTATAACAGAGACCCACGAACACACACACACACACACACATATACAGATCGACACACACACATGGCGCTGGCCAACTTCTCGCTGCCCTTTGGCGCACTCGCCCAGCCCTGGGGCGTGACGCTGGCCCCGCTGCATCCCATACACCAGCTGGCCAGCAATACGAATAATTTGCTCTACTCGCCGGCGGATCATCAGCAGCAACAGCAACAGCCGCCGGAAAATGGCGCTCCCGGCGCTGCGGACTACTTCAAGAACAATCCCTATGGCACACCAGCGCTGCATCAGCAGCAGCAGCAGCAGCAGCAGCAGCAGGAGACGCCGGCGCAGCCACAGCCCGGCTATCCGTACGGCAGCAGGCGCAAGCAGGGCACCGCCTACCTGCCGCCCACGGGCGCCGCCCGCAACTCTGTCTACCACACACAGCAGCAACAGCAGACGGTGCAGCAGACGGTGCAGCAGTCGCAGCTGGAGACCAACGAGAACAGCGTAACGTTCCAGAGCAGCGCCGGCCAGAGCCAGAGCCACAGCCAGAGCACAGTGCAGCTAACACAGTCCGCGGGCCGTGGTCCCGCCGAGGGCTCATACAGTCGCTATCCGGGCCAGGCGCCAGCGGCGCCCCCCCTCAAACAGCAGAAGCAATACTACAATGTCCAGGGCAGTGCCAGCGCCAGCACCAGCTTTAGCAAGAACAGCGGCAGCTTTAGTATTACCGGCTTTGGCAGCAGGCAGCAGCCGCAGCAGCAGCAGCAGCCAAATCAACAGCAGCCGCGACCGCCTCCGCCATCCTCACAGACACAGCAGCGTGGCAGGCAGCCGGGCAAAACGGAGACACCAGCGGCCACTTATGGCGTGGCGCCGCCAGACAATTATCCGGAACGCGCGCCGGGCTTTACGCGTGTCCAGGCTGGTCAGGGTTCAAGGACTCAGGTGCACGCCGTGCTCGACTACGATGTGGAGGAGGGCGAGGAGGAGGAGGAGGAGGAGGAGGATGATGGCGAGTACTACGACGCCGAGGCGCAGGCTAAAGGTGCGTGTGAAATCTATATATATATCAATTATTATTCCTACGTACACTGAAAGAAAAAGTAACAAGTTTTTCGTGGCCTTTCTTTTGTTTACTTTGCAAGAGTTTGATTTGTGTAAAATACATTCATATTTGTTTAATGTTCATTTCATGCCAAATAGTAGCTGCTATTAAAATTTTAATTAGTTAGCTTGCAACTACAGTGAACGCTCGCAAAGTAATACACAAAGGATTTTCGATTGCTGAAAAATTCAATTTTTCAAGAACTTACGAAATGTTTAAAGTACATTTAATTCTTTTTTTTCTGCAAGACAATAATTAAATTTAATTATATTACTTTTTTTGCTTTATTTCAAGTCTGTCTGTTTTATTAAAATCGTTAACTTTTTGAAAAATTTGAACTTTTAAAAGTTAAATGATTTTATGACGACCAAGAATATATATTTATTTGCTAATAAAATTAAAAAATGCATTTAATAATAAAGAATCTTTAAATTTAATTGGAAAAAAAATATATATAAATATTTCAATTTTTTTTTATATTTCAAGATTATTTAAAAATAAATAATCCTAGAATTTAATGGGATAATAAAAATATATTTTTTTTAAAGATTATTTCAAAGTAAATAAATAATAAAAAAATAAATAATCTTTAAATTTATTTACAAAGTAAATATATTTAATTAGGGATTATTTTATTTTATTAAATTCATTTAAGGAAAATTTCTTTTATTTAAGGATAGTCTTGCAGAAAAAGTAATTAAATAAATTCAATTAATAATTAAATACTTTATAAACATTCTAAGTTTGACCTAATATAAATGATAAAAATCAATTTTTTTTTAAATTTTGCTTACGAGCTCTTATTAGATTTTGTTTATTTCGATAATTAAAATATATCTTTGGATTAAAGAAAAGATACTTTTCTTTTCAAAAAACCAACTCTAGAATAATGAGAATATCTTAAAAATATGTTTTGAATTTGGAAGAAACTGAACTAAAACAAAATTCAAGACAATAATTAACCATATATTCTTTAAAGAGAAATATATTTTAAAATATAATACTATATTCAGGAAATAATTGGGCTACAATGTGCAAATATAATCATATATTTTTAATATATCTAAAAAAAAGTATAATCTTAAAATATTTGCTTTGAATTTCAACAAGTAAAGCTGGCAAATTGTGAGCTGTCGTTGTATGTTTTGGTATTTGGTCGATGGTATTGGATCTCACACACGATTTCCCCCCCCCCCCCTAACCCTCCCCCCCGCCACCAACAAAATTTATGTTAATTGTTGTTGTATCTTTAGTGTTGTTTGTTTCTTATTTATTTTTTGGCTAGTTTGCTACTTCGCATAGTTGTTAGCTTGTTGTTTCTGTGTGTATCTTTCCAATTGAGAGCAACTTCTGCACATTGCTGTTAGACAACAACAACAACAGCAACAACAACAATAGCAACAACAATAGAAAGAAGAAGCAGCTACAACTACTCGAAGTAGACGGAGCAAGGTCAAAGGTCTACAAACCGCTCGGCAAGGCCGCCTTTGGACAGTAATGGCCAGTGTTTGACTTTTATAGCTGTCGCTGACTAACACGCACCACGATTTATGTATCAGTTGTTATAGCTGCATTTTTTTTTGTATATTTTATACACCTCTTCAGATAATCGAGCCAGCGACAGTTGCTCTGTGAGACACACAAAAAACTGTCAGCGCATTTGATAATTCACTTTTGCTTTTATTTGCTGCGTGGCGCCTCTTTGTTTCGGCTCGGCTCATTTTGTGGCACAAACTGGCAGGTTGTTGCGGCTCAAGCTCAAGTATGACGGCGTATCTACATGCATACATATATATGTATATGTATTATTATTATTATGCAAGAAGTCGGGCCCCATTCAACGGGCTCTCGACTTGTCTTAAATGACGCCGAAGACGTGCACACGCGAGCGCGCGCACACACACACACACACACACACACACACACGCATGTGCATCTATATAGGATCAGGTACATATGTGTGCACTTGTATATGGTCGCATTGTTCAAGACTTTTGCTGGGTTTCACCTTTGCGACGTGCGAGCCACATACAAAAGCGAAACGAGTTCAACATGTAATGTAACGGCAACAGTTGCGAAGTACAGTGAAACCCAAACGACGGCAACACAAATTCTATGCGCGCGCGCGCAATCCTTTCGCCAAAAAATCATTCCTGCACACGTGCACATATGCATGAAAAGGGAAAGGGAAAGTTCACGCACAGTTCACGGTCCGGTACGCTTAATCAAGATCCGTCTGCTGCATGGCCTGGCATTACAAATGCCAGGCGAGTGGCTCGGCATTTTTTTTTTGTTTATTTTATTTTCTTATGCATTTCATATAATTTATATGTCAACTGTGCAGTGCGATTTGTATGCAGCATTGCAATTATTTACACTACTTTTATTTTAAGCAATTTATTTGATGTCTTTGGGGTTTTTCAGCGATGCAGCAGCAAAAGTCATATGACTCAGCTGCAGTTTTGCATTAACAATTTGGTATTCATTTATTTATTGATTGTTTTTTGATCATTTTTGCATTGCAGACAAGTCGAACAAGAGCCCGATGCCGACGGTCACGCCCATACAGGGCCCCATCTTCTTGAAGAACGGCAGCGTGCCGGTGGTGCCATTGTTTTCCTATCCCAAATCAAATAATGGCTCATTTCTGCAGATTCCGGTAAGTACACCCCCAACCAAAGAAAAAAAAAACAGAAACGACTCCAAAACGGACACGCGCGCGTGTTTTCCGAAACGTTTTGCGATTACGGCTTTGGGAACAAGTAAGTATATCGATCGAGTTTGCTCATTTGCGGAAATAACTTTGACGATCTCTGCCACTGTGTGTGTGTGTGTGTGTGCGTGTGCATCTGTGTGTGTGTGTGTGTGTGTGCTTCTCTTTATGTTGTTTTTGGCGCACGAAGGTCGCGCGAGTTCGTTTCGTTAAGAGGTGTGCTGATAATCACGCCAATCGCAGCACCAAGCGACTCTCCGATACTCTAACAAACAAAAAAAATGCTATGATGATATTAAATGAAACTTTTATGTCTTAACTTGAGTCATTTTCACAGACCGCGCCATAAAATGTTATAAGTCGAACATTTAAAATGCTAATGCCAATTAACTATGCTCTTCAATCCCCCCTATCCCCCCTATCCCCCCTTCCCCCTCTAGATCTGGTGGACGGCGCTGTCGGTGGCGCTCGGCCTGGATGTCCGGGGCGATGTGATCAAGGGCGTGCCCTGCATCAAGCGCTATCATCAGCTCTTCTGCCCCACCGCCGGCAACAGCTATCCCATGTGAGTATCTGTCGAATTGGTAATAGAATATGGTAACTTAAGCCTAATACACCGGAAAAATAGTTTGTGGTTTTTCTTGCCAAACATTTTTGGCATAAATTATGATTCAGAGTTTTTGATTAAATCAATTTGACGTCTCATATTTGCTTGCTAATTTGTATAACATTCTATTTAATCGGAATCGAGTTCAATTTTTAGTTAGTTTTTTCATAGTTTTAGTTTTTGTTTTAGTCACTAACTAACTCATTAGCTCGAAGCTGTTTAAAGCCCAGTTAAATTGAATATATTTTAAGATTCATTCTTTCTAGAAACTGTACTAAATATGATATTATTAATAATATATATTCTTTCTCTAAAAAAAAAAGACCGTTTATACTTTATGCTAAATATATTAATTTTTATTTGTATGAAAATAAATAGAAGATGAATTAAGAAGAAAAGAGAGAGTTTTCCTAAATATATTATTACATCTTTACATAGAATTAGCATAAGCTGAACTCAAGGAAAAGGTTTATTCCTATCTTTAAAATAGACCTCGAACTTAAAAGCATTTAGATTAAACATATATATAGTATATACTTTAAAATCATATCTTTCGTCCTATATTAGGTATGAGATACGAATAGAAGAAATTGTATCTTTTAAAGTTAAATTAAGGTTTTTACGTATTTATGGAGTTTAGTGTTAATAATCTAAGATCCAAGATTTAAATCGAAACTTCCAATTGGAGCGTTAATAGAGTCTAATTGAAAAATTGCTTAAAAAGGGACTTTGTTTTTTTACTCTATTTTATATTTTAATAACTAAAATATAGTCAATTTGTTCATTATTTAAAAAAGTATCTTCAAGATTTTAAGAAATTACCTATGTAATATTCTTAAGAAATTAAATATAAATTAAAACTTTTTATAGTATTATACCATATACATGACATATAAAAAGTTCTACATTATATTATATTTTTTAAGAATAAAACAAGCGTTAAATACAATTTTATGTATTATAATACCATATATATTAAACACTAAGAGTTGTATATTATACTAGCGGGTATAACCCGGCCTTGCCCGTGGCACGTATGTTATAAAATCAAAAAAGCTTTGAAAATGATTTTAAAACTGATCGGACGGGATTCAAACAACTTTTATGCAAATCGGAAAACTCCTAAAATTCACCAAAAAAATCTTTGAAATGCATTTTCCACCGAAGGAGTTTAGATTTTGCGAGAAATGTGAAACACGTCTCTAATGATCTTTCTTATAGATCTTTGGAAATAAATTTGAACACAAAACGTCATCCACCAAATCTTCGACCCCCATTTGCACCAAGGATGGATGGATTTTTCAAAAAGTATGAGACAACCCTCAAATGAGTTTGAATATAGATCTTTGAAAATTAGTTTGGGCCCGATCGGATGGTAAACAAAAAACTTTCATACAACCTTTTTCCGCCAATTTACCACTGTTGCGGGTGGAATTTTCCAAATCGCTGAAATACGTACTTATTAAGTTCTTATGTAGAGCTTTAAAAATAAGTTTGAAGCAAATCGGACACAACTTAAAACGCCGCCCAAAAAATCTTTAAATCGCATTCCCCCCGAAGAAATTTGAATTCTGCGAAAAGTGAGAAACACGTCTCAAATGATTTTTCATATAGATCACTGGAAATGAATTTGAGCGCGAAACGTCACCCACCAAATCTTTGACCTCCATTTCCACCAAGGAGGAATGGGTTTTCCGAAAAGTGCGAAACACCCCTCAAATGAATTTGAACAAAGATCTTTGAAAATAAGTTTGGGGCCGATCGGATGGTAAACAAAAAAGTTACATACAAACGTTTTTCGCGATTTTTCCACACTTGCGAGTGGAATTTCCCGAAACCCCGTCTTAACGTGCACCTACATCACATAAGGTAACTACAGTGAAAATTTCAGCTTCCTAGCTCTTACGGTTTGGGCTGTGCGTTGATCACCAATCAGTCAGTCAGTCAGTCAGTCAGTCAGTCAGTCAGTCAGTCAGTCAGTCAGTCAGTCAGTCAGTCAGTCAGGACAAACAGTTTTATATATAGAGATATCCCGAGAATAAAAGTTTTTATATTTAATACCATACACATTAAATAAAAAAACTTGTATCTTATGCTACATATATCACCATTTAAAAAAAAAAGGTATCCCATTTTAATCTTTTCTATTCTTAACTAAATCAATTTCTGCGTTCTTCTTCTTGTTTAGCGATAAAATCGAGCGCTTCATAGACGACAACAAGGCGTTGATGCGCCGCATGTACGGCGACTTTGAGATGAACATGGAGGGCGGCGCAGGCGGCGGCGGGGGTCAGGCGAAGGTGCGCAAGCGTCGATTCATAGACGATCCGGACATATTTATACCGCCCGGCGCCTATGCGGCAACAGCTGGGGAAGCGGGCGACAGCTACTTCGGGGAGCTGCGCAAGAAGCGGCAGGCGGCGGCGGCGGGCGGAGCTGGCAACAACCGGAATCGAGGAGGAGCCGCCGGAGGCAGCCGGGCCAGCAATGTGCCGGGCAATGCGAACGGCAGCTCGGGCACGGGACGACTCGATGCATGCGAGTCGAAAATAGAGATCGTAACGCCATACTGGGCCTCGAATTCGGCGGGCAAAATACGGGCCATTGTCAACACGCAGCACTTCGAGCAGGCGATCCATCAGGAGGTCTGCAGGTAGCATATGCACACGGGATGTCGTTTGAATAGTAACTAATCCGTAATGTATCCATTCCTCCCTCCCCTCCAACAGCAATACGCAAACGTCGCGCTGCGAGGGCGAATGCGGCTGCGAGCAGAAATACAAATGGCATCGATTGCTGGCCTACGATCCCGACAACGATTGCAAGGGCATCTTTATGGATTGGTTCCTGTTTCCTTCGTGCTGTGTCTGTCGTTGTAATCCCTGAGCGTATCCAGCCCCGCGCCCCAAACATAAACTTAAATAGAATGCCACTGAATGTATTTTAGTTGTTCTTAAGTAGACCCTAAACAATTAAATTACGCCTAGCTCTAGGTTCTTTCGTCTTTAAGCTTAAGCTTTTGTACAAGCCATATCCCATCTGAACCATATCGCAATTGCGTCCTATGCTAAATAATTCCGACTCCATTTGTTGTTGTAATTCGTAATTCGTAATTGTAATTGTCGAGCGATTAAAAGTGAATAAAATTAATTCAAAATCATGCAATGCAGACTTTTGAAATTGTTTTCAAAATGAACTGGATACGATTTTCATTTAATGACTTAATTTAACATTTTAACGATAAAATTGACTGAGCAATGGTTAATTTTTTATTCTCTTTATATTGTCAAAGGACCTTGAGCGATTATGTGGAATAATTTCTGAATTTCAAGGATCTTAAAAGTTTATGTGGAATAATTTCTGAATTTTCTTTGAGCCGGAAGATCAAGGCTTTTGCTTTGACTCATAATCTCAATCGTGATACGTATAAAATAAATAAACAAAAAGCCAAACCTTGTGAAAATCGATTGAGATTTGGCCGAGTTATGGGGGTGGAGAATTTCGATCTATGTCTACATAGGATATTTGAGGAAACCATTTTCACATGAAATTCGACCAAAAATAATGTTGCCAGATTATGATGCCAAATTGATCTAGAGGCCAAAACATGGACAAAGAACCAAACCTTGTGAAAATCGGATGAGATTTGACCGAGTTATGGGAGTGGTAAGTTTGGACCTATGAAATACGTATTCACATAGAGATTATATATTATATCATATATATATTGTGTCGTATATTATGTCATATATATGGTGCTTTATATATTATGTCATATCGCATCATAATGAATTCACATCACATCGCATCAGACCTAAATCTACTTTATATCGGGACTTACTTAATTAAGCAGCCCAAAAAGTTGTCCGGGAAACGAACCACTAAGCCGGGCTAAGCTTAAAGCTAGCTTACGGCTAACACGACTTGACAAGCTTTGGCCGGGTGCCATAGCACTGAGCTTTCGTGTGAGATGCGCGCAGCTTGCATTTGTGTTCAAGCTCAATGCAGGCAGCTTTTTTTGAACTACTCGAAAAATGGTGGCATATTTAATTTTCCCATATTATGAGTACCCGTTTTTTTAACTGTTTCATAAAGCGTTTATTTGACTGCGATTCATAAATAAAATAAAACATATTCACTCGCACGCAGCGAAGATTCCCGCAGATGCCTTTGCGCTTTGCGCTTCTCGTCCGGAATGGTCGTAAAAAAAAGAAAAAGAACCCTTGGTCTTGCATTGGCCATGCCAGACACGTATTCAATCACAGCAATGGCCACACAAAACTGCGCTATATCAAAAATTTTTGGGTCTTGTAGTCGTGCGTCGTATACAAATGGTAACATTTTTCAAGCAACAACCGCAACTGGAGGAAGCATAACAGCAACAACAACAACAACGTTTGCTGGCCAGTTAGTTAGTGAAGTGGAGATACATTATTGACGCCCGGCAATGTCAACATCATGCAGCCATGACGACGACGACAACAATAAGAACGAGAGTGATATCAACAACAATAACAGCAGCAACAACAAGAGCGACAACAATTGCGAGTTAACCATGAGATTTGCTTAGCGAAAACATTTCACCAGATTCTGCCAGGCTGACGCCCACAGCACAGACAATACTTTGAAATGGCACACACACACACACACACACACACACATACACACACACAGATATATCTACATAGCATACGTAAATACCAAGTCAATGATATGCACGTTGTTGTTGCTGCCATTGTTATACCCTGTAGAGATTCCTAACCTCCAAAAGAGTCGTGCATGTGAGTGACAAAATACCTTTATCAATAATTTGAAATATCAATCAATCGTGTTCTGGGGAAAAAAGTACAAATTTCCTCCAACAGTTTTTCTTTATATTCCAACCTTGCTTGTGGAATTTTATCCAGTCCCGTGTAAATATATGCGTATGCCATAAAGGGTGACTACTGTGAAACTTTAAGCTTTTCAGCTTCCATAGTTTGAGCATTGCGCTGATCATCAATCAATCTGTCAGTCAGCCAGTCAATCATTCAAACAGTCAGTCAGTCTAAAGGTCATTCAGTCAGTCAATCAAATAGTCAGTAAAGTTAGTCAATCAGACTGCCTTAGTCCATCAGCCAACCAATCAGTCAGTCAAGCACTCAATCAATCAGTCAATACGCCAATCAATCAGCCAGGCAATGTTTGAGAGAATCATTCAATCAATCAGTCAGTAAAACCATACAATCAGTCAGTCAGTCAGTGTGTCAGTGAGTCAGTCACTCATATAATCAATCATTCAGTCAGTCTTATGAGTCAATTAGTCATTCAGTCGGTTAATCTCAATCAGTCAGTCCGTGAAATCAGCCGGTCAACCAGTCGATCAGATCAACCAAAATCAATCAATCAATTAATCAGTTAAATCAGCCGGTCGATCAGCTAGTCAATCAATCATAAGTTCATCCAATTGACTGAATCGATCAATAATGCAATCAATCAGTAATTTAACCAATCAATTAGTCGTCAGTCAATCAGTCAGTCAATCAGTTAGTCAATCAATAATTCAATCAATTAGTCAGTCCATGAGTAAGTCAACCAATCAATTAGTCGTCAGTCCGCTAATCAATCAACTAGTCAATCAATCAATCAGTCAGTCAGTCTGCCAATATGGATAGATAGGGTATCTTCTACTCGAGCACCTTCGACTCTCCCTACTTGTTGTTGTTGTCGCCTCTGCGCGCGCACATTTGTCCTTTAAACGTAATGCGAAATGTGAAAGAATTCGGCATTGGCGACTGGTCAGAGAATGTTAGACGCATACCCTAACAACCATGTTAAGTAACTCGCTCGGTTTTTGGGTGTGCGAGCAAGTGTGTCTTTGTGTGTGTTTGTGTGTGGCGCATGTGTAGGACGTCATATCCTGGCAGCGGCAGCGGCAGCAGCAGAGCTCTGTCATCAGGGCCAAAAGTGGCACTAAAATCTCAGGCGCGGTCGCACTTTGCCTATAAATACAAATGTCTGCACGCAGCTTGGCTTAAAGCAACATTGTTATCCTAGTTCGGCACATCGTGGACGAGCGTGAGCAAAAAAAAAAACATATATATATATATATATAAATAAATATTAGATAATAAAAACGCACAGGCTCGTGACGCAAAGCTAATCCCAACTACAACAGCGAAAATCCTGTGCACAGTGAGTCAGCGCCTAATTGGAAATTATAAAATTGCATTCTATTCATTTTGATTATGTGCTAATAATATTTAAGCTAGCAAAACAAATGGAAAATGCAAAAATATTATGCAAAAAGCGAGAGCAGGCGATGCTCTGTTTCCAGAGCTGTAAAGGGTATATTGCGTCTGTTTAAAAAAAAAAAAAACTAAAATTTAAATTATTTTTTATCTGTTAAAGTGTTTAGCTACTTTTGGCCACGCCCAGAACCGCCCCTGCAAAAGATAGGCAACGAAATGTTGAACTAACAATTTTGCTCTCATAATCAAGTAGACTCTTTGCCACCTGTTCATAAGAAATATATCGTACAGGTAAAAATTAGTGCTGCAAATGTAAGTTACAGGCATTTACAATTTTCAATCAGCAGCGATTTGATTGATTTTGAGCAACGCCATTTCCGGCATTTTCTGAAGAATAAATTTGAAATGCATTTCAAGCATGTATCCATTTTTCAGATAAACGTTTCGAGATAAAGTCCCTATTTTGGGTATATCGCCATCTTTACACGTCATCTGTAAGCCCTAAAAAAATTTCATAGCGCTTGGTCCATTAACGCAGAGATTACTTAAGAATTAACGTTCCAAAGTGTTGTGGGGTATATTTGTATGTAAATTCAACGTGCAAAAGAGAGAGAGAAAAAGATACAGAAGACAGAGACAGAAGAGTGAGAGAGAGAGAGAGAGAACGAGAGTATCTCCCAGTCGAGCGTTCCTACTTATTAGAGAGCATCTCCCAGTCGAGCACTCCATCTTACTGGAGTGTATCTCTCAGTCGAGCACTCCAACTAATTAGAGAGTATCTCCCAGTAAAGCACTCCTACTTATTAGAGAGTATCCCTCAGTCGAGCACTCCAACTAATTAGAGAGTATCTCTCAGTCGAGCACTCCTACTTATTAGAGAGTATCTCCCAGTCGATCATTCCTACTTATTTAAGCTCTACTAACAATTAAAGCAGAGTATTGTGCAGTCGGCTCCTTCTTTTCGGCTAAGCTTTCACCTGTTTGCGAAGGCAAATCCTTTGAGCCTCTGTTTTTTTTAAAAATTCACACAGCTTTTTTATATGCTTGCAGACAACAATAACAACAACAACAACAACAACTCACCTGCAGGCGCACCTGTGTCCACCGCAAAAACAACAACAACAACAACGCCCACATAATGACCATGACTGCCGTCAGGAATCAGGCTCCGGGTTTGGCAACGGCTCCCACTTTGGCCCGGTCACACAGGTTGCAATTGCCGCTGCCGCTGCCCGTGCTGATGGCGCTGATGATGCTGCTGCTCCTGCTGGTGCCGCCGCAGCCGTGCGAGAGCCGATACCTGCCGACAAGGTCGCACGGCGACGAATTGGACAAGCTGCGCGAGCTGATGCTCCAGGTAGGTGCCTGCCCACCGGCTCCAGCCGTAAGTGGATAGCCTGCCCCAAAGAGCATTGTTTATGTGCATTAGTGTGTGCGTGTGTGTGTGTGTGTGTGTGTGCCCTTTACGTATGTGTATGCCCTTACAAAGGCTATTCAAATTGTGCTGTGAGCTTTGCAACGCGTGGGAGCAGACAACTTGGAACCCATAAAGTATTACAATTCAGATACAATATAGATACGTAAAGCCGAGTCTATCTAGTCGGATTTCGTTGTAGGTATTACATATGGACACCTATATAAGACCGATTTGGCAAATCAGGAATATATATACTCTATGCGGTTGGAGATACTTCCTTTTGTCCAAAAAAAATTACCTTTTTTTGACCATTTTCAATGGGTTCAGGGTATAAAAACCTAATCGTTTTTCAAAATATCTTCTGGAAGAATATTTTAAAAATATTCCAAATTGACAACTGAGGTTTAAGTAAACTTTTTGGTTAGTGAAAATAACCTATATATACATATTTGGGTAAAAATCGAGCTCATATAGAAAAACTTCATAGTTTTTTAAGTTAACCTTTGAAAGAACTTTCACAAAATCGCAAATCGGAATAATTTGTTAACAGGGTTTTTCATACGAAATCTTTTTATTGGTTTCTCAAAATATCTTCACCGAATTCGGTATTTACTCTATTATGCAGATGCTGTAGAAACTGTCGGTAGCAAAAATGTTTTTCAAAATATCCCTTAAAAGAATTTTAGAAAAATCGCAAATCTGAATAATTTGTTAGCAGAGTTTTTGGTTTCTTTGGCGCTTACGAGCTTAGCTAAGCTTATAAAATATTGATAAAATCGTATCAAAATATTATAAAATTATTATATTATGTAAATCCCATAAAGAAAAATCTGCCTTTCCTATCATAAATCCACAATAATTCGCAGTTAAATTTACACTTGCTCTGCAAAGGGTATTTAGTCGTCGGCTAATCTCTTTTTTCTTGCTTTTTTTGTTTGGTCTCTTCGCTGCTCTTCTTTTTGGTGTGTTATTTTTGGCGATATAATTAACTAAATGAAAAGAGTCAAAAGCGTGGTATTAAGTTGCAATTATGTCGCCAATTATTGGGGTTTTATTTTTCAGCGTGTTTTTGTTTTGGCCAAGTTGCGGGTTACCCGGTTACGTCATGCGCCCCAATCAATGCCAGGCCAATGGGTCTAGATGGGGTTACCATAATATCAAAAAAAAAGAAATACAAAATATAAGCAGAAGATAAAATAATAATAAAAGCCAACGCACAGATAGCCGCCGCTCCTGACTACAAAAGTATCTTTATTATTTTTTTTTGCATTTTTCGGCTGCGTCTGCAACCGTTTCACAAATATTTTACATATTTCGCAAGATGTTGTTGTTGTTGGTATTTGGTCATCTTAACTGGGGACAACAACAACAGCAACAACTGCAACAACAACAACAACGAGTGCAGCAGAGCCAGAGCCTGCCCGGCGACAATCGCCAACCTGCTGCGCTTGGATCTCTCATCTTTGCCAACACAACAACCTGCACAGTTTTATATAAAAAACACATTTTTTCGCCAGCTTCTTTTCTTCTTCTTCTGTATTATTATTTTTTTTTGGTTTTTTTTTTTTGTGTGCTCAGTTTCCTGTTCTTTTTCGCAACCGCAGCACAAAAATGCTGCTCAACCGGGGGGCCAATTTATGTGGATGCTTCACATCATTTGCTCACACTCGATTTCTAGACGCAGCTGCAACTGCAACTGCAACTGCATCTGCAACTGCAACTGCAACTGTTTAGCTGAGCTTATGTGTAGCATCGGCAACTGCAATCGCAGCACATTTACCAGCTAAATATGGGGTGGGCAGCCTTGGAGCCCAAAGCGTCTGTCTATGGGCACGTCCTTGGGTCTGTCTTTGGATCTGTGCTTGCAGCTGCCTTTAGGTCTGTTGATGGATCTGTCTTTGGATTGTTTTAATGGTTCTGTCTTGGCATCTGTCTTGGAAGTCTGGCTCTAAGTCAGTATAGAGTCCATTTTGGCTCAGTCTATGGGTTTGCCTGGAAGACTGTCTGAAAGTCGGTATAGAATCTATGCCCTACATTTGCCTTGTAGTCTGGCTTTGCGGCTGTCTAGAGATCTATCCGTTAGTCGTAACCTGGCATTGTCTTCGGCTCTGCCTAAAAGCTGTTTGCAGATCCCTTAATGTGTTTTTTTTTTAGTTGAGTCTATGGGCTTGCCTGGCTCTAAGACTGCCTAGAATTCTTTCCCTGCATTCGCATGGATTTTGGCTTTCCGCGTGTCTAAAGATCCGTCCCCAAGTCGTAACCTGGCATTATCTTCGCCTTAGTCTTTGCCTAAAGCAGTTCCTTTAATGAGTCCATTTTAGCTTCATCTATGGATCTATCTCTGAGTATCTCTATGTGTTGATCTGAATTCAGACTTTGGATGTGTCTACTGTTCTGTCTATTGGTCCATCAAGTCTTTGCCTAACGGAGTCCATCTGTGTGCCTGCCTGTGATTATGTCTATATGTGCATCTGAGGGTTCCTGAATAGGTCCATCTTGAGTCCAACTTCGAGTCTGTTATTAAGTCTCAGTCTATCACACAGTTTCTCTTGAGATCTGTTTCTGGCTTCTCTTTGGTTCTGTTTATTGTGCCAAGTCTCAGTGTATTTTAAAACATGGGCATGTGTTTATATCTGATCTTTTTGGGCTTGACTCTTGGGCTTATTTTGGGACTGTTGTAATGTTTGTCTTGGGATCTGTCTTGGGATTTGTCTTGGATTCTATCTTAGGGCTTATCTCTAGACTTGTCTCCTGCTGAATCCACCTACGTTTCCATATTTATATCCAATTATGAGGTGTCTCCCAGAATCTGTATTTCTGGATCTGTTTCTGTAGCAGGTTTTGTCTCTGGTTCCGTCTCTGGGACCTACCTATAAGCCCATAAGTCTATCTAGGAGTTTATTTCTTGAATTGTCTTTACTTTTATTGATATATTTCCGGGTGGATCAGGTTCTTACTATTTTCTTTGGACTTTTCTCTCTCTCTCTTTCTCTTTCTCTCCCCCTCCACTTACTATCTGTCTCCCTCTCTGGTGTATCTCTGTCCCTGTCGCTATCTCTGCTTTGAAGTTTGAGTTGGCGTCTGCATCCGAGTCTGAGTCATGTCAGGGCCTTGCGAATCGATAAGCCGCTGACGTGAGACGCGCACAAAGTGATTTTGGCCAAGAGGGACAAGAGGGATAACAACAGAAAACAGGCAACAGCGACGCCAGCGGCATTGGCAGCAGCAAAATAATAAAAAAAAATAAAAGTAAAAGAAAAGACAAGGAAAAAAGTCGAAATGGAATCAAATACAGCAAAACGTGAAGGGAAAATCAAATGTCAAATAGCAAAAAGTGGAAAATGACGTCGCTGCTGCGGCCCCCTGACGAAGGTTGACTTTAACTTTGTCGACGTCACGCTGAAAATAATATACAAAGCAAATTCCACTTGTCAGAGCTGAGCGCAATGCATTGAACCAGCAGATCATGAGTTGGCAAACAGCTCAGCTTATGGCTAATTAGCCGCAACCTGTCACATCCAACAAAACTTCACTTTTGCCTTGAAAGAAATTGACTGGAGAAAATAATAAAACAATTCCTAATGAAATATTCAGATACGAACTTGGCTGAATGTTTATTTTGGACAGCAAATGTCAAGTTGTTGTCAGGGCCAAGAAGTTATTCGCAGACGAAGAAGAATTGGCCTAAATGGATTGGCCTCAAATATCTTAACACGAATTAATAATTAATGCAATTAAAATATAGTATATAGATTAAATTGGTTTAACAGCCTAAAGCCAGAAAATTCCCAAAATGAGCACAGATTTAATAGATTATTTTTTTAATACCACGCTTTCTCACTTTCAGTCCCTTGAACAAATTAAATTTTTCAGCTGTCAAATATTCCCATTTATTCCTCAACTCTTACCACAGCACGAAAACAAATTTATTAGGCCCATTTCTAAAAATAAATTGACCGCACAAAAAACGCAAACTCAAATTATATATAAACATCATAATAATATATTAATTTGAAAAATAAAGTAAACCAAATCTAAGGTCAGACACGCGAGATAATAGTAACAAAATATGCGCTTAATTTAAAAAAAAAAAGGGAAAAAAAACTATGCCGCGATGATTTGATGGAATTTCGCATGTTGAGCAAAAGAAAAAAGTCTTCATGGTAAATTTGATAAAATATTGAATCGAGCAATACTTTTCTGACAAATTATTTATAGCTGACCTTAGTAAAATGCGTTGTGTTTATTTATTATGGCATTCGGCTGATTATTGTTATTATTATTATGATTATTATTATTATGTGACTAGGCCATTGATAGTTAATCGTTTAGAGCAAGATTTAAGAGCATTTATATTGGCAAACGTGTGCGCAGGCCATTAAGAGGAAGTGTGGCAAGTCCGTGTTGCAGCAGCATCCCCCTCCCCTCGCTGCCACAGCCCCCCCGCTGACAACGCACCACCAAAAACAACGAGACAAACAATGACAACAATTCCAGAGACCCTTATCCAATCACATAACTTTGCACTTAACGACGACTCTCAAATTAAACTGTCTAAATGTGAAGATGGGAGGATGGGATGGTGGGCAGGGGGGGAGTAGGTTGGGGGGAAGCAGACCCTGCTAACCGCGATTGTTGTTTCCTTATACGATATATATCTAACGACGTTTAGGCCAGCTGCAATATTAATAACTGAGCAGGAAAGAGAAAGAGCTGCCAAGCGAGAGAGCGAGAGAGAGAGCGAGAGAGAGAGAGGGAGAGTGAGAGGCGCAGAAGCAGCAGAAAAAACAATCTGTTAAATTAGCAATAATATAATTACCTGGCGCAAAATTGTTTTAGGTTTTTCATCTCTCTCTCTTGTCTTTGGCCCGATGTTCACACATCGTTCGCCAAAACAAAAGAGTTGCCAGGTCGCCCCGAAGGGGGGCGAAGAAAGAGGTTACCGTCTGATAATTACACGACAATACCCCCCATTAACACATTTTCAGTCATCAGAGCTCACAGCCGGAGTCGCCACACACAGCCTCCAGCTCGGGCTCGGCAAGTGTTACAGATATACACAGATATATACAGATATATATATATATATATATATATATACAGATATATATGTATATGAATAGGGTTCATTCGATTTAATGAACCGCCAAAAACCTGTGACCATGCTTCCCACACACAACGGGCGGCTGGGCCTCTATATACTTAGTACAGCCAAGATTTCAACAGATTTTTGAAATAGCTAACAAACTCACAAACTCACAATCTGCGCTCCGTTCACAATTTCAGCGATACGATGCGCTTCGCAACAATAACAACTGCGCGTTGATAATAATAATAATAACTGCCATATAACAACAATAACAACAGCGGCAATTGTAAGCTTAACTCTTTTTGTTTGCAGATTTTGGAGTTGAGCAATGAGGATCCACAGCAACAACAACAACAACAACAACAACTACAACTACAACAACAACAACCACACCAAATGCGTCTGCACAATGAGGCCAACAATCCGCTGACCGCTCAGCGTGGCAGCAGCGGCAGCAGCGGCTCGAATGCCGCCTGGCTCCAGAAGCTGGGCGCCATGGGCGCACTTGACACGGAGGGCGGCTATGGGCGCTACTAAGCCCAAAACCCCAACAACTAAACCATACGCGACGACCCCGATTAAAACTTACAAGCAAACAAAAAAAAAACAAAAAAAAAAAACCAGGAATGCAAAACAACCATTTGAAATGCCAAATTTTTAAACAAAAACGATCTGGTTCCCTTTTGAAAAGAAATATAAGTAAGCCAGCCAATTAAGTGCGAACTAGTTCCAAAAGCAAGACATGTTTTTTTTAGTATGTTTGTAACGAACTGTTTTCAAATTGATGCCAAATTTTTAAACTAAAACGATCTGGTTCCACTTGGAAAATAAATTTAAATAAGCCAGCCAATTAAGAGCGAACTAGTTCCAAAAGCAAGACATGTTCTTTTTAGTATATTTGTAACGAACTGTTCTCAAATTGATGCCAAATTATTAAACCAAAATGAACTGGTTCCTGCTTGAAAAGAAATTTAAGCAAGCCATCCAATTAAGAACGAAGTAGTTCCAAAAAAAAAGACTTGTTTAAATTAAAAAATTTTAAAGCACATTTAGTTAATAATCAAAAGTAAACAAGTTTTAAACTGAAGATATTTTTAAAAGCTACCTTTGTAAACAATAGTTCGAACATATTTTAAACGAGTCATTTTACTATCATATTAAGAGCTCAAAATTAAAACTATATTTAAGTTAAACCAATTTTAGAGAGAATTTTGTTAGTCATCAATTAAAAACCAAATGGTTCCAAATCGAAGCATTTTCTTGGTAAAAAAATTAGCATGGACCACTTTTTAAGTTAATTAATTCATTCATTAAAAGCGAACTAGTTCCAAATTGAAACTATTTATAAATTAAACCAATTTTAACAGAAATTTAATTCAATTTAAAGCGAACTAGTGCCAAATTGAAGGTACTTATATTAAAACTTCAAATTTAACTAATTTCAAAGAGAATTTAGTTAATTATCAATTTAACAATTAATAGCGAACTGGTTCCAAATTGAGATCAATTTTAAAAAGCTAACTTCATAAAAAAACAGCTCGAACCAGAAACAGAGTTCATTTTACAATCACATTAAAAGAGAACTAGCTCAAAATGAAAACTAGTTTATGCAAAAAGAAAATTGAGTTAAGTATCAAAGAAAAGCGAACTGGTTCAAATTTGAAGCTTTCTTAAAGGAATTGTATTAAATTGATCTAACTTCTGAACGACTCAAAACTGAATTGAGCACAGTCTTCACTCGATAAATTGTCATGTTTTGGGTCTGTTCCTGTAAGCTGCGGCGTTTCAAATAGTTTTTACATTCCGGAACGAAATAAAATACCAAAAACTCAACGGTTTTATAAGCGCAGGCAAACTGAACTCAAAAGAACTTAACAGTTCCTATAAAAGAACAATAATTTTTAAACTTTTACGATTAATCAAAAAGAAAAATAAAAAAAAAAATATATATGATATATGTATACACTATATAATGTACATGCAATGTTGCTGGTAATTCAAATTATATATAAAATGATATATATAGATATACATATATATATTTATTATTCCTGTATACATGTTCTTTCAACTTTGTATTGTGGTTGCCAGATTCTGTTGCATGTTAACCGAGGAGAAGAAGAGTCAATTGTAAATATTTAAACCCCGTCCCTGAAAGCATAAAACTGGTGTGTGTTTTAATGGGCCCCAAGGCTGGGCAAATAAATATAAATTATGAGCATATTACTACCCAACTACCACAAATTAAAATGCCGACGCTTCCATAACGCAGTTGTTTTTTCTTCATCTTGTTTTGTTTTTGGGATTTGGGGTCTGGCCTCCAAGCGGCACAAGTTACAAGTTCAGCGTCGAATGCTTTTCCATTTAATGGCGCCATATACCTTAAACTTATATACACCATATATACATATATATAGATATATTGAGATATGTGTATGATGCAGCCCCGTTTATATGCGCTACAAATACAGCTACAAATGTACATTTAATTGTTAACTTAATCGTTGTTTACCTTATGATCGAAAACAATAAAAGAAAACATTTTCAATGCAATCTGCTGGCGCGGGTCTCTTCTGCTTTTTAATTAGATCTTTAACTGCTGATATCGAGAGGGGAGGGGGGAGCCCGGTTGGCGGTGTAAATCTCTTATGCAATACATCATTTTTACAACATCTCTGCACACGCATGCATCTGTATCCGTATCTGAGAGATACACCAGCTAGCAGATACTTTTACGCAGCACGTTTCACATGCCTGCAACTGGCGCAAAACTCAATTTACTTTCTTTGGCGATGTCTTCAAGTGCAACTCTTGACAAATTAAAACTAACAAGTGGCGATTGCCAACCAGCCCCCAAAATAAGACGACGACGAGCATCAGAGCCGTGCCCATCAGTTACAGATACAGATACATTTACAGATACAGATACTCCGCTCTGCCTGTCTGCCTGTCTGTCTGTCTGTCAGTGGACCTTCACAAGTGCCCACGCTCTTAAACGGTTCCAGCTCCAAAGTTCCGTTTGCCTGTCGCTGAATTTCTGTTTTCGGTTTTGTAAACGCATTTTAATTGTTTTTTATGTAAAAACAATATTATTTAAATGGTTTTTTTGTCTTCATTCATTTTGGGTTTTTGTCTTAATTCATTTCTATATATATATACATATATCTCTTTTTTTTGTTACATAAAGTCCAAAAAGATACTTAATAATAATTAGTATGTGTGCATGGCAAGGTGTCGATGGAAATGATGATGGCGCATACGTGTGTAATGGAGAAAGCAGAAAGATTAAAGATGAAATATGGTATTTTTTTGGCAGATGGTGCACAGTTCAGAATCATGGAGCTTGACACCATGTAAACAAAATTTCGGTAATGCGCTTAGAGAGAGTTAGACATAGATATAGATATAGATATAGATATAGATATAGATATAGATATAGATATAGATATAGATATAGATATAGATATAGATATAGATATAGATATAGATATAGATATAGATATAGATATAGATATAGATATAGATATAGATATAGATATAGATATAGATATAGATATAGATATAGATATAGATATAGATATAGAAATAGATATAGATATAGATATAGATGTAGATGTAGATGTAGATAGTAATATTTTACATTTATATTTTGCCCTTCTATGCGATTCTCACTAACTAACATGCCTAAATGCTTTGATTATATTTATACATTTTATTAATTTCTATTTAACTTTTCGCCTCAACCTGTTGATCCTACCTCGGCGCCTATCTGTTCATCCATGTTTATTCATGTAAACTGTCAATTAACTTGCTCCTCTTATCTATATCATAATTTACACCGATTGCATCTGCATGGACAGATTCTGCATCTGAAACTAAACCTGTCATTAATTTGAATATCGGCTTGTTGCTTAATCGTATTTGATTTTTTCTTTGTGCTGCTTGTGGCTAGAGCCTGCACCTGTTTTAGACACCCAGACAACAGTTGCCCAGCAGCAATCATCGTTCCGAGCTGCAGATGCAGATGCAGATGAAGATGAAGATGACGAGGATGATGAGGCGAGAGATGCAAGTGCGCCTTGGAAATTGAGGAAATGCGGCGCGAGCCGCAGATGAACAACAAAATCAACAGCAGCCGAAAAACGAAAAAACATGGGAAAACATTTGCCATTTGGCTAACGGCATTATAAATGATGCCGTTGTGGAAAAGTGACAGTTGTCTGTGTGTTGGTGTGTGTGTGTCTGGGTGTGTGTGTGTGTTGGTGCAGTTCCAGTTGCAGTGCCCGACACCAACTTGCAGTTGGCAAGTTCCAGTTGCAGGTATCGTCGCCTCAACTCGTCCTCATCGTCGGCTCTTGCCAATGATTATGCCGTTTCGTCAAATTCCGGCAGCACAGAAAGGTGGGCAGAGTTTCAACAGCAGTAGACGCAATAAAACCAACCCTCCTCTCCCGCCCTCCCCTTCCCCCACTACTTTGCGCTCCCTGTAGGAGTGGCAAAATGGCTGAGGATTCGAGCCATTGGCATTTATTGATTATGCGCATATCAATTTTGGCAACACCTCGAGCCAAAGCGACTGTCAGAAGCCAGTTAAATCCCAGCGATCAGATTGCCCGATCGTGACATGGCCAAAAGAAAAGTCGCCAATAAAGTGAGCAAAAGCGAACAAAAAATATATACAATAAACAAACAATGTAACTTTTTATGCGGCTAATCATATTTTGTTGCTGGTTGAGGAAAATACGAGTACAAATAATGTCATTGCCGGGCAACAAACGATGACCCGAAATTATTGAATAAGCCAGAAAAAAAGAAGAAAAACAAAAATAAAAGTAAATTAAAGAAATTCATAGTCAACTATTGCATTATGGCCGAAAAATGGAAATGAAAATGGGGCTGATGATGGTGATGGTATCCCAACAAGACCGTGAAGCTCATTATTAGCATTGCGCAGATGGAGAGGGAGAGTGGGATGGCGAGGGGAGAGGGAGAGCGAACGAGACGTAAGACATGAAGAAATGTGAAATAAGACCAAGCAGCAAAACCAAGTCCAGTTCCAGTTGAGTCCAGATCGGAGCCAAACAGTGTGTGAATCCACATTCATTGAAATTGAAAGTGAATCGTGCCACACGATCCGAACGATGCGATCCTCCAAAACCGAAATGATCAAAATAATAATGTAACAAATACAACAACAGGCCACAAATACCGCAAAAAAGAAGAAGAAATGAAACCAAGAAGTAACGCGTAAGCGTTATAGTCAACACGTAGAATTATGAATACCCTACCTGTGGGGAGCTTAGCTTAGCAAATACGATTTGCCATTATGTGCATTAGATATATATTAGAATATATTAGATATATACTAGAATCCATTAAATAATCAACTATTCGAATTCGGTTCCTTCAAAATTAGTTGCTTTTAAGTGGGTCAAAAAGTGCTCAAAAGAGTTTGCCAACTATTTATAATAGTATTCTCCTAAGTTTTTGCCTACCAATATTCTTTCCAGTTCTCTTGATCTCTAGAAAAATATTTACCTTAAAGCTAATACTTAAGAGATTTTTTGGGTATAACAAAAATTACAAGAATTCAATTAACTAAATTTTAGAATTTTCAAGGATTTTCCAACAGCGTGCCTAAAATCTTTCTACTTTTCTTAAGACTTTGAAAATAGTTAATATATACTAAATACGTAATTGTTATCTGAAGAAAAGTACTATCAATAGCTCCCACTAACAATACTCAATATAAACGAATATATTTTCTGGATAATTTAGCAAAGTGTCCTACTTTTTTCCCACAGATATGAGTCAAAAGCGTGAGAGTTGATCGATTGATCGATTCTAGTATTATGAATAATATGAATATGAATATAATTATGAATAATCTGCAAATGTTATCCAATTATATATGACCTATTTGAAGCACCCAATAGCCAATTTAATTGATAGACATTTTATCTGTTAACAACTAGGTACCTAAGTTGAGGGTATTAAATCGGTTAAAATTAAAAAGGAAAACCGCAAACTAAGAAACGGTCAGCAACAAACACGCTGTCGCTGCCGCTGTCGCTGCTGCTGCTGCTGTTGCAGTCGCAGTCGGCGTCACAGTCGCAGCTAGGAGCGGCGGCGGCAGCGGCAGCGCAAGCTTCAGTTTCCCGCAGGCCCAGATGACTTGCCAGCTGCTGCGGCGCTGCGCTCGTTGTTGTTGTTGTTTTTGTTGTTTTTGATATTTTTGCTGTGGCTGAGCTGCTGCTGCTCCTCTTGTTGTTGTTGTTGTAATTTCTGCTATGCTTGTTGTTATTGGCGCCGTTTTATACATTTCAATTTCTTCATGGTTATGCGCTCTTTGCCAACTGGTGCGACCACGGCTGCTGCTGACGTCTCTGCCGACGCCGTCGTCGTCGTCGTCGCCGTCTTGATTTTTACTTAATTTTTATTTCTCGCCACGGAGCGGCACTATAAAAGCAACTGCAACAATCGTTGTGGCATGCAGTCGAGTGTAAGAGGTTCCGCGTCGAACAAGCTCCAGCGAATTAAACAAGTCTCGAAATTCCATTAAAAACGGATACTTAACGATCTTCAGTCGCACACTCTCCATAAGCACAATGCAGCCCAGTTTCGTGGTATGTCAACGCGTGTGTGTGTGTGTGTGTGTGTGTGTGTGTGTGTGTGCTCTAAGCTGATCTCACTTTTTTTCGCATCTGTTCTATGTTTCCATATGGCTGCAGTTAGCGGTTGTCTTGGCCAGCGCAGCGCTTGTGGCCGCTCGCCCGGAGCCGCCGCGTGACACGTACAGCGCCCCGCCGTCGAGCAGCTATCAGCCGAGCGGTCCCAGCGGCGGCTACGGCGCACCAGCACCACAATATGGTCCGCCACAGCAGCCGCCGGTGGTGCACAAGCATGTCTATGTCCATGTGCCCCCACCAGAGCCAGAGTACCAGGCGCCCAGGTGAGTGCAAGGCTGTGATAGAAGGCAACTATCTTTAAAAAAAATAGCTGCATTTTAGCTAGCTACAAGGATCCTTAACAAGAAAGTAGCACAAGGATTTCCTCATCTCAGTGGGTTGCGACTTTTGATCATTATTTTGCATATAGTTGAGATCTGTTATATTAGGTATACCAACAAATAATTTCTTTTGTGAGATTTACAACTCTTTAAGAAAAACTTAAATATTTCTCTGCATCTTTCGTTGATAGTTAATTGCAAAATAATTTTAGAAGCTCCTTCAAATGTTAGGTTAAGAGCCAGAGTAACAGGCGCCCAGGTGAGTGCCAGGGAGTGTGACAGATGCGTATTAAAGGAAGGGGTATTAAAGGGTTGCGACTATTGATAGTTATTACTAATAGATAGTTATAATAATTACGAATAGTTGGATTATGTTTCATCAGGTTAACAGAAAAATATTTTTCGTTTTTTTTTTGTCTACGCCTTTCTGTTCTCTTTAATTGCAAAAGAGTTTTAGAAACTCCATCAAATGTTAGGCTATGATGTGTTTGTAAGGAGACTTTGAAAAAAAATACAATATATATGCATATGCTAAAAAACGTTT